GATGATTCCCAACTCAAATACTAGAGGAATGGGGAAGATGTTATTCAATTTCTGAAACTTCAAAAAATTATCACGGGTAATATTTTCAATTGTGATTTGCAAAGATCGTCATCGGTGGTGCACAGCTCATCATCGACATCAAAGGTCCTCGGTGAGCTCCGGTCAGAGAAGTCGTGGCTCGACTCTGTACGTTGATGAGCACTCCAGCCAGCTCCGTGACTCACTGACTCACAGACATACAGACAAAGTTCACTGCAATAAACATTTACCATAAAAAGGCAAAGACCCCCCGTGTCGCCCACATATATTGTTGTGGTAAGTTTGTTTTATATTTTTATATATTTAACGTGGAAAATACTTGAGATAGACACATGTCGCTTGCAAGCGTTTTTCGCAGGGAGTGGGTTGACGCATTCATCATCTAGCGACACACAATGACAGACAGGCGACCCCCGCACCTAGACCTCATTGGTTCTTAGACCACGGTTGTAAGTTTAGCCGTCGTAAGTAGAATCCTTATTGCCCATAGGCGCAATGTTATACATTGGGGTTCCGTTCCTGGAAACCCATTACGTACCATAAAAAAATAACAAAATTGACCACGAAAATAAATGAAAATAACCCTAATAAACATTTATTGTAAGTTAACCTTTAACAAAATGTATTAAGTAAAAACATACTTAGATTTGAAAATTATTATGTATGTTTCTGCATGTACATCACATTTCCTCTTCTCAGACGTAGCGAAAGGCGAATTTTCTTCAAAATGTGAAGACACTTTACAAAGAAGTGAAGAGCGTTGAGATCGAGATGGGTTTGCTCCAGGCACAGCTGCACACTGTCGGGCTATACTGTACGTATGCATACGCAGCAGTGCCATCTAGCGACGAGTGCGCATTGCATGCGCACACTCGTCCATCGACTCGGCGTCAGTAGCAGTCGTAGTCTCGTAGATACAAATTTTGGTCGTTTCTGTGGGGGCCTTACTATAAGAAAGGTCGTAAAAGCGGGGGTCGCAAGTCGAGGAGGCGTGAGTCGGGGTCACCTGTATATAGACCCACACAAAGATCTCCCGTATACCCTTTAACAGAGTCTCGGGGCAAGTGATATTATAACAGATCGATGTGGTCCTTCTTCATTGCATCTCTATGAGCTACGGTGAAGAAACATTGACCGACGTTGTGTATGTTTTATTTGTACTTATGTACCGCTGCCAACGCACCATCATCGATTAATTTGGTGGCGCACGTGGCAGCCTGTAATCCAGCACCGTCGAAGCAGCCAGGGTTGGTGGATCGTGCAGACGTGGCCGTCGAGAAGGCGGTATAGCAAAGTTGGGACTACACCTGTTCCATCTGTACGGGATATCGTGTGTCCCCATTGCACGCATCGGTTTTCTCTCTTTGCGGGAGCGAGCGACTCCGGTGCGGTGCGGTACAAGTTGGCATCGTTCTTGTTGTTACCGGTCACGAGCTGATGTTCTGGCAGAAGGAAAGGGCCAGGTGTGAGGGGCCACAGGTCGAGCGCGCGAAGTGGCAGGGCGCGCGATCTCTGCCACTCAGGAGGGGCGCGTGGCGAGGCCACCAATTCGCGGGCCCCCAGACAGCTCGCCCAGGCGGGCCCTGCGCGTCGCGGGGCTCGCTTGAGTCATCGACGGCGCCTCGCTGCGAGCTCCCTGTTCCGCGAGACAAGGCCGTGTTTGTCTCTCTCGCGCAGCCACTTCCTCGCCCAGGGGCAGCGAAGGAAGGCGATGGCGGGCGATCACAGACACCCACATTGATGTCTCGACCTCTACCGGGCACCACGGCGCATAGGTGTTTGCACAGAAGGCCCGCGGGGAGGGGTTCGCTTCGGGTTCAGTTCCAATGGTGTGGGTTCTGGAGACGTCTCACGTCAAGCTGCTGTTGTTGTTACCGAGGGTGAGATCTCGAGAGAGCAGGCGAAGGAGTCTCCTTCACAAGAGTCAGTCTTGTCACCACATCGACAAAAAGCAAATATATTCAAATAGAGCACAACAGTTAAACAAATAGAAGTTAGGGTAAAACAACTGCGCTAGCGATGAGATATTAAACAATGCACGAACAAAAATAAATATTAAATTAACTTTCCAGAAGAAAAATGTGTTTCTAAAACTAATCAGACAAGATCCATGGTGAGTATTGCACAGCGACCTGAGCAATCTGTGCCCTATCTGGTCCGTCCTAGAGTCGGGGCTACTCACGGCTCCTCGCGCCGTCGTCGGACCGGATAGACCACGGACCCGGCAGCACGGGGGGTCCCAGCAGCACGGGGGTCCAACGGGAGGCAGCAGGGATCTGAATCCCCCTCGCCCCTGCTCCCCATCACTCCCACTCACCCCTCCACCCACAGGTCCCTCACTCCAATCGTCTCCATGAGAACGGCTTGTCCCCCCCCCCTCCTCATCTCCCCTCCTCCTTCTGACAACGAAGGCTTTGTTCTCCATGTGTTTGTGTTTTACTGCGGATAAAAGGCTGAGCGCTGTGAGCCGTGAATGCACGAAGAGTCCCACAGCCCCTCCCCCCACTCCTCCCCGCCCCCACCCCCACCACACGCTCCGTCTTCCATCTGGACGCCTGGAACAGGTCCAGGGAGCCCCGCTCCGTGGCCCCGTGAGCCGTGAAGAGTCGCCAGGAGCCGGGACCCACAGCGTGGGGAGGCTCCTCTTACCCCTCCCAATCCCCACCGCCAGCCCCTCCCCCATTACGGGTGCAGCGTTTTACTCCTTAGAGCCAAATAGAAAAATGGATTCAGCTCCTTCTACTCCAGACGCACACGCGCACACGCAACAACCGTCGTTCGCCACTGGGTAACGGTGATGTCACCATGGCGCTTGTGCCAGGATAGGTGCACGTGAAGTGTACATACGAAACATAAACATGCACGTATAAAGGTAAACATAAATACGCACATGCGCGCGTACACACACGCACGTGCACACACGTCCATACACACACACACGTTCATACACACGCTCACACACACGTGCACACACATATCCGTCCCGGGAACTCGAAGCGACTCCGCGCAGGAGAAAGCGACACCCGAACACCCCCCCCCCCCCCAGGCCACGTGTTTTGTTCTGACCCTGAGAATCCCCCCACGCCACCTGGCTCGCCCACACTCACACACAGGTGTCGCTTTACCTGGGGGAGCGGGTGGGGTGGGGGAAGGGGTGTGGAGGGTGAGGAATGTCGCGGCGCGTCGCGCTCCTTCGTGGCTCCATGTCAAGCGGCTCGAGAGTTCATCCGCAGAGAGGGAGTGCCTCGGAGAGTTCACGTCCTCGACTCGTACCCTCTCCTCTCTCTCCTCGCGCACTCTCTCTTCTCGCGCACTCACTTTAGTCATGCACATTCTGCTCGGACTCTCGTCGCTTTAAACACACACAAACACTCCGGCTATTCGCCACTAAGTGCCGGTAATGTCACCACGGCGCTCGTGCCAGGCCAGATGTACCTTGAAGCCACGTGAAGGGTGGAAGGCCCGCTGGCAGGAGGTCACGGGGCAGACCCAGGTGCCACGGGTCGACTGACTGAGATGACTGGCAGATGCACCACCTGTGCTCCTCACTGTGCAACCTTGCTGCGTTTTAGCTGCCCGGCGCTCCGCTCGTTGTTGTGAGCGTCACTCCTCTTCCCTCCGCTCCCTCCAACTGCCCAGTAGCAGCGTCCTTCACGAGCCTCTTCCATAGAGGACGATCTTGAAACCGCAAGTACCGGTCATTGGCAAGTCCACTCAGCTCCAAATCGTCTTGTACCGCGTCAGTCCATCTCTTCTCTAGCCCGTGCTCTTCCCGCTTAGCCCGATCTATCCGGCCAGGCAGTGGCTTGGCATGCGGGCTACATGACTCAGCCAGCGCAACCTTGTCTGCCGGAGTATCTCACCGATGGGACTAATCAGATCTTTCAAGGATGTTTTAAATCGGCGCAGATATTCTTTCAAAGGTGTCCACATAACTGTGGCCGAGACAACCCGAAGCTTCGTGTGTAACGACAGGTGAGGTAGCTTCCACACAGCATTATGCAGCTGATGAAAATGTCACTCGACTGGATTGGGTGTCATAAGTAACTTCTCTACTAATGATAATATTAATATTTACCAGATCAAGCATTCATAACATCGTTGACAAATAGGGAGCCATCCCTTGACCGCACCTGGATATCAATGAGCATCCCATTGTATCTGCACCAGATGCAAATTGCACCGGAACATCCATGGAAAACTTCACGAACTACGGGGTAAGATATGTTAAACAGTGTAGGGGCCTGAGGACATCCCTGTCGTACCCCACCATCCTGAAGGTCCTTAATGATTGTGAGCAGAGGGTCAGAGACCCCGAAAGCACAAATAAGCCTTGACTTGGACAATAAAGCAGAAATGTAGGTCTTGTTGAAATTCCTTACACCTCGGCTGCAGCAGACGCAACCCGCGACTGCCACTCATCCTTGCAGTGCCGCACAGCTCTCCAAACCTCCAAGCGAAGGCTGTGATAAGCCTCCTCATTCTCCGATGTGGGATGTTGTAGTAGGCGGTATGAGTGGACCTGTTGCTTTCTCTCATCTCACCGGAACACCTCCTCCTTTAGCCAGTGTTTCTATAGAGGTCTGGACTGCAGACCCAAAGCAGCCAACGCAGCTGCATGAACCACAGTCCTGAACGTCACCCATTTCCCATCGCTATCAGGAGGAGGGAGGGGTGATGCCAACCCCAGCTGCAAGCGATGATGAAATCCTCAATGCAAACTGTTATCAGTCAGCCGAGACCAGGCTGTTGTGGGTTTGAATGGGGTCCTAGGTGGACGCCCACCACCACAGACAAGAAAAAAGATCTCCCGATAGCCTTGGCAGACTTTTGGGGCAAGTTCTGTGAGAACCTATCAAGGCCGACACGGCACACGAGGGGGTCAGTGGCCAACACCATGCCTGGCCACCTTTCTCTCACCAGTGTTGATGTTTAGACACCACAACAGGTACTCATTTAAGGCTGAGTAGACCTAAGGTAGGCCCAGTACCGATTTAATTTATTCTACACTGATGTTGCCCAGGTTCGGAGTGTAATGCTCTGACCACTGGACCACCACTCCTCGCACAGACAGAGACTCGTTCAGCGCTTGGCGACTATGTATTAACCCTTAATCATAATGCGCGAATGTACACATCACGGTAATGCCTCCGTTACAACAAACAATAATAATAAGTTACTTCTACCCGCGAAGCATGTTCCCCACAGCGAACGACATCGCCATCGCGTCACCCGCTCGCAGGCACGCAATGCGTCCTCTGTGGGAACGTCGCCATCAGACATGGTCATCTAAAATACAGGTTTTTTAGGTTAGATAAAATATAAAAACAGACATGGTCAATCCGCTGCTCAAGCGGACAGCAGCAAGCAGCACTATTAATGATGTAATATACAAGAGTTTAACACGCTTCCTGAATTCAGCAAGATTATTGATGGAGCTGACGGAAACGAGATGACTACGATGATAATGGTGAGAGAGGGAATTCCACTGCAGCAGTGTGGAGAGAAGAAGCCAAAAGAGAAGTGAGGTGCCCTGCAAGGTGGTAAGAGGGGTGGGAGGATGGGTGAGTGGGTGGGTGAATAAGTACATTTATAAACGCGCAACTCTTATAATCTAGATTACCACGAGTGCACACTATGTACACATTGCAAGCTCTATGACACAGTTCTGTGTTGCATCTTCTAACTGAACTGGTGAAATGTCTCAAACATGGCGCAACGGCAGTGAGTTCCAGGCCGATGGACTGCTGAGGAGGTGCTTGAGAGGTTGGGTGAATAGGTGAGTGGGTGGGTGAGTAGGTGAGTGGGAGAGTGGGTGAGTCCGAGGCCGATGGACCACTGCGCGGTCACCATAAAGAATGCGACGATTGACAGTGCAGTGTACCGGCACGCACCACGTGTCCATCAGAGAGCGTGGAGTGCCTTGTTGTGACCTGCAGTGTGGTGGTTGAACACAGTGAGATGGCTGAGATGACACAGTCTGTGTGTCTGGTAGACCGAGTCCTCAACACGGGTGGAGGAATCTAAATGAGTGAAGTACACGGGAACAGTAACCATGGTAGTAGTAGTAGTAGCGACTGGCCGCCGGTGAGTGGGCCGGAGTTAATCAGGGACGCCGATCGCAGTCTTGGGGTGCACGCTCTGTCAATGCCCTCGCTGTTTGTCGCGCGAGGGCTCAACGCGTCGGGGGTTCGTGGCGCCCCTCGTGTCGCCGGTGACCGCGGTGTCGTGACTCACCGAGCGGGTTGCTGTCGCTCGGCGGTCGAGTCCGCCTCGAGCGCGAGCGGCAACCGGTCGCGCAATTGAGACCGGTTGCGAGTCGAGCTGATTGGCCGCGCGCAACCGAATCATGGCGCACAGGCCGCGTGGTGCCGGCGTTAGAACCGCATCGCAGGCACCGGCGGGAGGGCGGCAGCCGTGCGGTTCAGGGGTTCAGGAGACCCCCACAACCCCCGCCCCCCACACGGGCCGCAATACCCTTGTGGTGGGGGGCGCTGCTAAGGGGCCCTCTGTCAGACCCAAATTTGGCGACATCCACGTGTTCAGTTCTGCGGTCGGCAGCTGGGGACGCGCAGGGGCTGGGGACGCAGGGGCTGGGGACGCAGGGGCGGGGGTGGTGCGTGAGCGGCGATGGCCTGCCGGCTACCTGGTCTCTTACTCACACCGGGCCGGGTGACAAAAAGGGCGGGGGGAGCAGGGCCCTTCACTGCACGGGCCTAGGCAGGAAGTGCACGGCCTTCTGCCCGCGGGCCGTCTTCGGGCCCGGCTTAGCGCGGCCGCTGCGCTTGATGCCCACGTACCAGCGCCAATCGGCGTACTTCTCAGAGCAGTACGTGCTGTAGAAGTTCTCCTCCAGCGTCTCGATGAAGTAGCACTCGTCATTTATGGCCTCCTGAAGAGGAGAGAGGAGGGGGGGGGAGCGTGAAGAGGCGTGGATCCCTCGTGCACAGTGCCCGAGTGAGGCAGACACCCTCCACCATCCCCCCCACAGACGCCCCTCCATTCCATTCTGCCCCCCCTCCACCCATAGACCCCCTCTCTCTCTTCCCACGCTGCCAGGAATAGCAGGACGAGACAGGAATTAGGGTGGTGTGGTGAGTGGTGAAGTGAGTGGTGAGCTGAGAGGCTGGTGAAGTGAGTGGTGATCTCAGAAAGCAGTGAACTGAGTGGTAGGTGAGCCGAGTGGGTGGTGAGATGAATGGTGAGCCGAGGGAATGGTGAGCTGAGTGGTGAGCCGAGGAAGTGGTGAGCTGAGTGGAGTGCCTCACCGCCCCGTACAGGTGTCCCTCCGTGCTCATGGCGAGGAACCTCTCGGCGCAGAGCCCACGGATCGTCACCACCCCGCGGCGCACCGCCTGCAGCTGCAGAACGGCTGCACAGACACAGACAAAGGTCCACCGTGCGGTCTCACAGACCGTGGGGGCAAGTGCTGCCAGCGATCACCGAACAGGGCTGGCACGGCGCACCAGGGGGCGAGATGCGAATTTCGGGAATTCCCAAAGCAGCATTCCAGCCCACGGTGATTCATGACCACGGCGTGTGGTACAACTACGCGACCACTACCACCACCACCACCACCACGTATTGGCACTGTTGTTGTAACTTTATGACCCACCCCTACTGCACAGCTGTGAAAAAGAGCTTCATAGCTCATCGGATTTCTCCCGGATAAATAAAGATTCTGATTCTGAACCACCACGACAACCACCATCACAAATACTACTACCGCCATAAAGACAAAGACCCCCGTGTAGCCGTTAACAGACTGTTGGGGCAGCACCAATAAAAGCCGAAATGGCACCTCAGGGGGCCGGTCGTCAGCACTACGCCCGGCCGCCTTTGTCTCCCGAGTGGCAATTTTACACACCGCGCCAGGTACTACCACCACCACAAACACCATAACAATCACCAACTACAACCTACACACCACCACCGTCATTATCCACTGTCAACAACATCGTCAACTATCATCATCCACTACTATCACCACCATTCACTACCATCATCAACGACTATCACTATACACTATTATCACCATCCACTATTATCATCATCCACCCATCTCACGAATCATCGCCGTGACATTGGACCCGGGCCACGCGTCACCTCCTGCACCGCTTACAGCAGCAGCATAATCATCATCAGCAGCAGCATCATCAGCAGCTGCAACAGCAGCATCATCATCAGCAGCAGTATCATCAGCAGCAGAGGCGTAGGCAGATATATCACTGTACTCATGTCACACGTGTACTCACTCATGTCACACGTGTACTCACTCATGTCACACGTGTACTCATTCATGTCACACGTGTACTCATCAAATGTGCTGTTGTCACTCGAGGAGGCTCTTTGGTGGGCACTGTCACTGGCACACATTCGGACTAACGCCCTCTGACACTCGTGATTGACACTGACACATTTACTGACACTATATCACTAAAACTATATAACTCTCTGGCACGCTAACACGTTCATATGTTGAACTCTTTTGCACCGTACGTAGCCAACCGTGAAAATCGGAGGTGCGGGGGAAGGACACGAAATTTAACACCCAAAATAGTTTTAACGAAATGAGTTTTCAATTTATATTTAAAAGTGCTTAGCTCCAGTGCAACACAAAGACCGGTACACAATGTGTCAGTGACACTCTCTCAGTGACACACTGACACAAACACTGTAATTAGCGGACACCATGCCCGTGAGTGACAACCACAAACTCTGTAACTAACCCACTCTCACAGTCACACTTCCCATGAGAGACACTGCGTGAGTCACAAACACTCTGCTCCACTCGCACACGCTGCCCGTGTGTGAGTGGCACGTCCGCGCCGCGTAGTACCGTGGGGCTCGTTCTCGTCCTGGGTGCCACTCACGGTGCCGTCCCCCAGGATCTGGAGGTGGTGGCCCGCGCTGCGGCAGTAGAGGCGCCGTGGCTCCTTGAAACTGCCGGGGAACACGGGCCCCGCGGGGACCACGGGCAGCGTGCCGATGTGGCCCACCTCCATCCCGGGACCCTGCTCTCCGCTCCTGATGATGCTGATGATACTGGTGCCGAGGGTGGTGTTGCTGCTCCGAGTGGTGATGATGTTGCTTTGATGACTGATATTTGCTGCTCGTTATGCTGCTGATGATTATTCTGCAACGGATGTTGCTGTTAATGGGGATGAACCCTGCTGATTCTGCGAATGATTATGCTGCTACTTGTTGATTATTTATGTTGCTTTCTGCTGCTGCTAGCACTGCTGCTGATTATACTGCTGCTGATGGTGCTGGCGACACCTGTTGCTGCTACTGCTGCAGACTACACTCCTTGCAGCTGCTGACCCTGCTGCTCTTGCTGCCGCCTAGAGTCGTTCGCGACTCTTCCTCCTGGGTCGCGCTCCGTTCGCGACTTCGCACGCAGGGAGGTGAATGGAGGTGGCTAAGAAGGAAGGGACAGACAGTCGCCCGCGTCGCCCTTTTAATTGCGGCCTCGACTCAGGGGGAAATCACTCAAGACATCACCCACCGCATTTTCCAGGCGCAGTGGCGACGCCTCGCTCACTTCGAGCCTCCTCCGTGCCCAGCCTCACCGCACGCCTCGGAGGCTCGGAGAGGGCAGGGACGGGGATGGGGAACGCGGGGCAAGGACGGCGCCACGGGGCGGAGCTGTGACGCGCACACCGAGGGTGCGTCACGGGCCCGTGCGCTCCTCCTCCACACACCCCCTCCATCCTCTTCACTCCCTCCTCCTTCACCTCAATCCTCCTCCAAATCCTCATAGCTCCCTCCCACCTCCTCCCCATCCTCCATCCTCCTCCCCATCCCACTCTCTGGATCTCAGCCAACTCCGGGTTCAGAGGCTGCTCCCAACTGTAGAGAGGGCCGAGCGAGTGCGTGAGTACCCTCTGTCCAAATGTAAACATTCACAAACAACACGCACACACGGACACAAAGAGATAGGTCCCCCGTATAGACGTCAAGAGGCAATTGGGCAAGTGCTGTTAACTAGCACCGATGAAGGCCGGCAAGGCATAAGAGGGGGTGAGTGGCAGCACCACGCCCGGCCGCCTTTGTCTTCCCAGTGCTGATATTTACACATTGCGCTAGGTACTAATTTAATGTTGATTCGATATAGGGGAGTCGCAGAACAAGTTCAGATAATCGTCACTGGTATTGACCGTGTCCAGGAATGGAAACCGGATCGCCGGGTTCGGAGCACAAAGTGTGCTAACCGATGCGCCACCGCTCTCCATTATACTGCACACACCCCACACGCCACTCGCACACACTGCACAATCACACTACCCACACCACACCTCCAGCAGCCTTCACCACAGTGCCACAGCTCATCATCGAGAGGTCACCGGGTCACGCCCCCCATCACTGTGGCCCCCACTCCCGCAACTGTCGCTGTCGCACGGCAGCTTCATCTGTGAAGAAGCGCGGGACCCATCCCGTGGCCTCCCCACAATGGGAGCCACGTGTGTGCGTGTGAGTGGGGAGCGGTAGTGTGTGTGTCTGCGTGTGAGTGGGGAGCGGTAGTGTGTGTGTGAGTGGGGAGCGGTAGTGTGTGTGTGTGCGTGTGAGTGGGGAGAGGTAGTGTGTGTGTGTGCGTGTGAGTGGGGAGAGGTAGTGTGTGTGTGTGCGTGTGAGTGGGGAGCGGTAGTGTGTGTGTGGGCGTGTGAGTGGGGAGCGGTAGTGTGTGTGTGCGTGTGAGTGGGGGGCGGTAGTGTGTGTGTCTGCGTGTGAGTGGGGAGCGGTAGTGTGTGTGTCTGCGTGTGAGTGGGGAGCGGTAGTGTGTGTGTGCGTGTGAGTGGGGGGGCGGTAGTGTGTGCGTGTCAGTGGGGGGGGGGGGGGGGGGGGGGGGTAGTGTGTGTGTTTGCGTGTGAGTGGGGGGCGGTAGTGTGTGTGTGCGTGTGAGTGGGGGGCAGTAGTGTGTGTGTGTAAGTGGGGGGCGGTAGTGTGTGTGTGCGTGTGAGTGGGGGGCGGTAGTGTAAGTGTAAGTGAGAGCGGTAGTGTGTGTGTGCGTGTGAGTGAGTGGGGGGGGGGCGGTAGTGTGCGTGTGAGTGGGGGGGCGGTAGTGTGAGTGGGGGGCGGTAGTGTGTGTGTGAGTGGGGGGGGGCGGTAGTGTGCGTGTGAGTGGGGGGGGGGCGGTAGTGTGCGTGTGAGTGGGGGGCGGTAGTGTGTGTGTGTGAGTGGGGGAGCGATAGTGTGTGTGTGTGCGTGTGAGTGGGGGAGCGATAGTGTGTGTGTGCGTGTCAGTGGGGGGGGGGGGGCGGTAGTGTGTGTGTGGGCGTGTGAGTGGGGGGCGGTAGTGTGCGTGTGAGTGGGGGGCGGTAGTGTGTGTGTGTGTAAGTGGGGGGCGGTAGTGTGTGTGTGCGTATGAGTGGGGGGCGGTAGTGTGCGTGTGAGTGGGGGGGCGGTAGTGTGAGTGGGGGGCGGTAGTGTGTGTGTGTAAGTGGGGGGCGGTAGTGTGTGTGTGCGTGGGGGGCGGTAGTGTAAGTGAGAGCGGTAGTGTGAGTGGGGGGGGGGGGGCGGTAGTGTGAGTGGGGGGGCGGTAGTGTGAGTGGGGGGGCGGTAGTGTGAGTGGGGGGCGGTAGTGTGTGTGTGAGTGGGGGGGGGCGGTAGTGTGCGTGTGAGTGGGGGGGGCGGTAGTGTGTGTGTGAGTGGGGGTGGGGGGGCGGTAGTGTGAGTGGGGGAGGCGGTAGTGTGCTTGTGAGTGGGGGGGGGGCGGTAGTGTGCGTGTGAGTGGGGGGCGGTAGTGTGCGTTTGAGTGGGGGGGCGGTAGTGTGCGTGTGAGTGGGGGGCGGTAGTGTGCGTGTGAGTGGGGGGGGCGGTAGTGTGCGTGTGAGTGGGGGGGGGCGGTAGTGTGTGTGTGTGCGTGTGAGTGGGGGGGCGGTAGTGTGTGTGTGAGTGGGGGTGGGGGGGGCGGTAGTGTGAGTGGGGGGGGGCGGTAGTGTGCTTGTGAGTGGGGGGGGGCGGTAGTGTGCGTGTGAGTGGGGGGCGGTAGTGTGCGTGTGAGTGGGGGGGGGGCGGTTGTGTGTGTGTGAGTGGGGGGGGCGGTAGTGTGAGTGGGGGGGGCGGTAGTGTGTGTGTGAGTTGGGGGGGGCGGTTGTGTGTGTGTGAGTGGGGGGGCGGTAGCGTAGTCGTAAGGAGCTGGAGCTGGGCCTCGTGTCTCACCACCTGGATACAGGCCCAGGGGATGAGGACTGGTTTTGTGTTTCAAGTTTATTTTGTTCACCCGGTGAGAACTCGAAAGGCCGTGATAGGATTCTCATTTGCAAAAGTAACCTGGCTCACCACAACTACAAAAGCAATCGCATCGAAACAAGTACAGCAACGAAGCAAATATAAATCAGTGCAAAAACAACAACGGCGGCGTTATTTACCAACATTGTGTCAACTTGGAACAGGTGAATGGGTGGGGGGCGGGTGGTGGTTGGAGGAGAGGGAGGGGGGGACTGATGGGGACATTTTTCTCTGGGTCCGAGATCTTGGGGCGGGGGGGGGCTTGGGCCTCCAGAAACCTCTTCTCCGCACTGGGAGGTGGAGCCGGTGGGCTCCAGGAGGTGACAATGATCATGGATTCGACAGCAGCTGCAACCCCAACAGGTGGAGGAGGTCGGGGGATGAGCGACGTCTGGCGGTGGTGGCGGTGAGAGGCCAGGAAGGGGCCGAGAAGTGGAGCAAGCGCCTCGCGCAAAACGGAAGGTGGCGAGTTCAATTTCCTCCAGGGTGCTCTGCTCCTGTTCACAGGTCTGAGTTAGCGAGTCAGTGGTGGAAATTACACATTTCTATGCCGGGGATGAGTATATCCATTGGATATCAACTGTCAGTGTTTTCATATTTTTGTACTAAACGCGACTGGATGTCGCCCTTGCAAGAGAACGAAGCAGTGCTGCTCCATGGGTCTCAGTGGGTCCCTTCCATCTCTCATCTCAATGCACTCCTCGTTGAGGGTGTACTCGGCGCGCCCATCATCCCTCTGTACAACATCGATACAATTAAATCGACCTCGCCATAGGAATGTGGAATATCCCACCATGCGGCTGATGTGGCGTGTTAAAAAAAAACTCCACTTGCGTTTTGTATGGAGGGACAGCTATGGGAAGGAGGCGAAGTGTCTGATCGTTTAGTTGAACAGGACATCCATTTAATTTTGGACTCAAATGTATGGCTTGTCCCCAATACCGGCAGTAAGAACCTCAAGTCTAGACACGGCACATCCCAATCGCGATTCGACGTACGGTACTGTATATCTTATTTCCTTCCTGGACTGGAATGGTTGTTTGGAAAGTGTTTGTAACCGGGAGAGGGATGAGGCTCGGGGAGGGGAGGAGGAACGCACGCACGTTGGAGTTTGAATTATTATTACTGGTTTTTAATCGCAGTTGAGCACCGGCCAAACGGCCCATCACGTAAAGCGGCCAAAGCTGTGATAGATAAGTGAGTGCAGCGCGGTTCTTGATTTGAGCAAGGTTATTGTTGTGAGAGCTTGGGGGGATGGGAGAGGGGATTCCAAAGTGGAGCAGTGCGAGGAAAGAAACAAAGAGGTGCGGTGACCTTCTGTGTGGTGGTTGATTGAGTAAGTGTATTGTTGTGACCTTCTGTGTGGTGGTTGAGTGAGTAAGTGTATTGTTGTGACCTGCAGTGTGGTGACGGTTGACACACCGTGGATCGCTCGCCCTACGCATCAGCCGCAGTTAAGAAATGCGCACAGGGCGAATTGCTTCCCTTTGACATGAACCACAAGAAACACCGTGGCGGGGGATGTCATGGCATAGATATGCACACAATTCGCCTCCTTCACATCTTCATTTTTACACACATCCCATCAACCACACGGCCCTTGCCGGGAGCCAGGAAAACAAGGAACTATCCTCGCTTCCATCCCGAATGCAGACGGCACCAGCGGCTGCCTCTGAAGCCAGCGACTTGGGTTCGAATTAGGGCTGTCGTCTGTCCGGGTTTGACGCAGGGAGATGGGAGACGCGGCGAGATGGGGGCCCAGGGGAAACGGGAGACGCGGGAAGATGGGAGACGCGGGGAGACACGGCGAAATGGGGGACCCGGGGAAATGGGAGACCCGGGGTGATGGAAGTCGTGGGGAGACACTGGAAGATGGATGACGCGGGAGAGCAGAGACGTGGGGCGACGGGAGATTTTGGGAGATGGGAGACGCTGCATCTCCCATATTTCCCATGTCTCCCACCGCCCCGTTTCTCCCCGCTCCGCCCGTCTCGCCAGTTTCCCTCCCGCATTTGCTCTGTGCCAACTTCCGCCATCTCCGCGTGGTGGTGGCCATTGCGAGTCCAATTACACCCGGCGCATGGAGCGGTTCTCCTGGCGCCTAGCTCCAGAGCCAGGAGGCACGGGGGTGGAGGGGATAATAGGAACCCTTGGTCCCTTTGGGGGTATGAGGGGATCCTGGCTGATGAAGGCAGCAGGGAGAGAGGGGTTGGGAGGATGCTAGGAGATTGAAACCAGCTGAGTAAAACATGGAGTAATTATGTCGGCGATGCGGTCCAGCGGGAGTGCATTGTTGCAGAGGTTTGTGGCTCTAATCCCAGGCAAGCCGCCCTGGTTAATAATGTGGTGCGTATTCACCGTTTGCAAGAAAGATGCATTCCGAATGAGGAGTAATGAATTCCGTCGCCAGGTTACAAATTTGCCAAA